GGAGCCCGATGCGGGACTCGATCCCGGGACTCCAGGATCATGACCTGAGCCGAAGGCAGTCGCTTAACCGACTGAGCCACCCAGGCGCCCCTAAAAAGCCATTTTAACAGCAGAAGCCTTAAGTTATACATTAGTCACACAATATGGAGGAATTGCGGGCTTCAATTCTCTAGATGAAAAGAAAAACAACAAATAGCTTACTTTAAGAGCAAATATTTAGGTTGACAATGAAAGTGAATTGTCTGTGGTGCCCATAACCAATCAAGTCTAGGGATAACTTGGGAGAAAAACTGTCAGTAGTTGGAGCTGGAAAATGGGCATAGGAATATCTGGGCCTGAATCCCCCTGGCCCCGATGCTCAGAGCCACCTAAAATGAAATAGTGTCATCTTAGTGCTTCACTCTTCCAGCAAGTATGTGTCCATGGAAAACCCATTGTTGGGTTCTGTTGTGTGGTTCACCCAGTGTTCATTTCCTCTGTTCACCTTCCCACTAACAGCAATGTGATTACTCCTAAGGGAATCATTCCTTCCCCTTCAGTCCACATGGAGTAGGACTGATTCCTTACCCAAAGTTGAGGGATAAGTAATTTTGTTAGTTATGTCTGCTGTTCAACAAATCACCCCAAAACTCAGTGACTTAAGGCAATAATAATCATGGGGGTGCCTGGCTGGCTCAGTCAGAAGAGCACGAGACTCTTGATCTCAGAGTCATGAGTTTGAGCCCCATGTTGGGTATGGAGACTAAAAAAAAAGGAAATTAAGAAAATGCTTCTATTTACAATAGCATCAAAGAGAATAAAATACTGGGGCGCCTGGGTGGCTCACTTGGATAAGCATCCAACTCTTGATTTTGGCCCAGGTCATGATCTCAAGGTTGTGAGATCCAGCCCTGTGTCAAGCTCACGCTGGGCGTGGAGGCTGCTTAAGATTTTCTCTCTCCTTGGGGCGCCTGGGTGGTGCAGTCAATTAAGTGTCCGACTCTTGATTTCGGCCCAGGTCATGATCTCAGGGTTCTGGGATCAAGCCCTGCATCAAGCTCCATGCTCAGTGGGGAGTCGGCTTGAGATTCTCTCTCTCCGTATCCCTCTGCCCCTCTCCCCACTTGCATGTGCTCTCTCACTCTCTCATAAATAAATAAATAAATAAATAAATAAATAAAATCTTAAAAAGAAAAAAAGAAGCAGCAGCAAAACCTCTATGACCTAGCCTGGGAAGTCACATGGCATCACTTCAGTTGTATTTCTATTGTTCACATAACCTTGGTTTAGTGTAGGAGGGGACCATATAAGGGCATGAGTATCTGAAGGCAAGGTCACTGAGGGCCATTTCAGAAACTGGCCATCGCATCCATCTCAGATGAGCCTAGCCAATAGGCAATTCCCAAGTCCACAGACACAGTGATTGGCTCAAGAATGGATACATGAGGGGCCCCTGGGTGGCTCAGTCTTTAAGCGTCTGCCTTCAGCTCAGGTCATGATCCC